TTTATCTGTATTTTTTTTTTTTTTTTGAGGCAGAATCTCTCTATATAGCCCTGGCTGGATGGAACTTACTAAGTACACCAGGCAGGCTTGGAACTCACAGTGATCCACATGCCTCTGCTTTTGAGTGCTGGGATTAAAGGTATTTACCACCATGCCCAGCTTCCCTCAAACTTTTAAAGAAACTACTTATTTCTCTTTTAGTAGTGTCCTTCCACCCCCCCACCCCCACCCCCTTTCTGAGATGCTCACACTGTTGTCTAGGTGGCAGTGAACTCATGCTAATCCTTCTGCCTCAGTGTCTCAGGTAGGGAGATTATAGACGTGAGCTTGTACAGTGTAGGCCTCCTACCCACGGAACCCCAGTTGTGTTGAAGAGGAAGGAGGGGAAAGTCGGTGAGATTTCTGAGGCCTGAGAAGCTGTGCTGCAGTGTTAGGGAAAGTTCCGTGCTAAGCTCTTTCTGGAGTTGCAGTCTGTAATGGCCGTCATGCTCTGGGGCTGGCTCTCTTACTTTGAACTGCTTTGCCATCATTTTTGGAATATCATTTTTTAGAATAATAGTCTGCAACTAATTGCAGATTGGGGCAGAAAATTGTTATTTTCTTTGTAGTTGTTTGGCATAAAGGGAACATGTTCTCCTTCCTATAGAATAGTTTCTTCTGTTTTATAAAACGTAATACTTAAATGCTGTCTCACACCCTCCCCCCACAACTCCAGAGACAGAGTCTCTCTACATAGATCAAGCTGCACTGTCTTCTGAGTTCTAGGGTTCCATGGGTACATAAGCCCCGTACCATGCCTACCCCTCCTTTTCTGTGTGTGTACATACTGAGTGTCTGTCTGCTGCCACACCTTCAGTGCCAAGACTTTTCTGCTTCTGGTTTGTGGTTTTACTCCTGGTGGAGTCAGTGGGTTCTTGTAGACATCTGTGGTTGTGACTCACACTATATTTGAGGTTGCCTCGTGCTTCCCAAACTTTGCTGTAAGTTGGAGACATCTGAGCTTTAAAAAGTGTCCTCAGACTGGCTGCTTCTGCTAGGAGTTCTGACTGCTAGAGGGGTGGGGCTGCCTGTAGAGGAGTGTTAAATTCGTGGACATCGGTGTGTGAGGGCCTCTAAGAGGTCCCTGGGTGGATTGGTGGTGTGTTGTGTCTGGAGCAGCAGCTTTTGCCTGGCTGCTGTCATGAGGGCAGCTGAGAGTCAGGCCAGCAGCCACCACCCTCCCACTGCTGTTGATACCCAGCAGGGCAGCTGAAGGAGGGGCGCCCATCTCCTGGGCAAGGCTGCTTCTTCCTCCTGGATGATACATTTAGCATGAAATCATTTGGGGAAATCACATTTCTATGGTGTTACTGAACTTTAAGTGATTTTGAGGTGGTATTATTAGCTGATGATACAGGAACGTTTTTTTGTCGTAGAACTCTGGATTCAGAGGAGCTGGAAAATCTTTCCTGAGCTTTTCTCTCTGTTCCTAATGTTTTCAGTTTCAATCCACAAAAGGGACTGCTTATCAGAATTCTCCTCTGAGGAGCTTTTCCTTTTGCACAATGCTGGTTTATTCTTGGAAATAGCTACTTTGAAGCCTATCTTGACGTTATGTATTGTGAGGCACAAGCATTTCCCAGGGCCAAGTTGTTCTTTATTTCTTTGGCCCTTTGTTTACTATTTCCTGGGCTGAAGGACTTTCCTCTTTAGACTAAGCTCATCAGTAGGTCCTTTAGCTGGACTCAGGGCAACATCTTTGACTAAGAGGACTTAGGTTTAGAAGGCTTGTGTTGAATCATGCTTTTACTTTCAAGTGGCCCTCTTCTTCAGTGGATGGCCTTTTACAGGCAGCATTGCGTATGGCAGTATTCTAGTGCACAATGTCTTTACTCCTGTCCCGAGGCTCGAACCTCTGCAACAGGGTGATATCTAACTATTTTACTTGGGGGTATTTGGCGTGGTCTCTGATAGTCACTTTCCCAGACTAGAAGAGTCAAGAGTTCTAAGAAACAGATGGTGACTTAGGAAGAATTTGTGCCTTGGTGGAAAGAGGTGGAGTGGCTCCCTCTGCAGCAGACTTGTGAGTAGCTTGTTCCTTCTAATAAGTACTGCCCAGGTAATCTTACTGCTGGAGGACGAAGAGGAGGAGTACCTGGAAGAAGTCAATGAAAGCCAGCTGGTGGCAGCACACACCTTTAATCCTAGCACTCAGACAGGCAGAGGCACATGGCCAGCCTGGTCTATAGAGCAAGTTCTAGGACAGCCAGGGCTAACACAGAGGGCTAACACAGAGAAACACTGTCTTGGGGGAAAAAAATTAAGAAAAGAAGAAGAAAATGTCCCTGTCATACATCTGTGTTTGAGACAGCTTCCTTTTTCTCTGGAGTGGTGAGCAAAGATCTTTTCGCAGCAAGCGTTCCACTGTCCTGTGTCCTACCCCGGAAATTAGAGTAAGGAGTGGTGGCTTACAGGTTTTGTTTCTTTAAAAAGACTTTTTTTTATTTTTAAAGTTCGTGTGCATGTGTGAATCCATATACACCTGAAGGCCCCTACAGAGGCCAGAAGACAGCACTGGATCCCCGAAGCTGGAGTTACAAGTGTTTGTGAGCCATCTGACGTGAGTCAGTGGGGCCTGCGAACTGAACTAGGGTCCTTTGCAAGAGGTACACGCTCTTACCCCTCACCCACTGGGCCACTGCTTCAACACCTTGGTTTGCTTTTCAATCAGAATAGATACTAAGCACTTTTAGCCCTTGCTGGGACTTGTATTTGGGAAGTAAGAGGCTGAGAGCCTGGTGGTATACACCTGTAATCCTAGCATTTAGGGGATAGAGGGTGGGGTGATCAGGAGTACAAAGCCAGCTTGGTTTGCGTAGTTCACTCTAGACCAGCCTGGGCTATATAGCAAGACTCTGTCTCAAAAAATGAAGGGCTGGGGGCTGGGGTGATCTCACTGTGGTTAAGAGCATCTTCCAGAGGATCTGGGTTCCGTTCTCAACACCCAAATGGTGGCTCACAACCATCTGTTTCTCTAGTTCCAGGTGACCTGACACCATCTTCTGTTTTCTACCTGGGTACCAAGTATGCAAGTGGTGCGAAGGCATGCATGCAGGCAAAACACCCACACACATAATGATGATGATAAAAAAGAATCCAAACCAAGGGCTAGGGAATGGAGCTTATGGTAAAGTGCTTTTCTAGCCTGGCTGACCTGGGTGTGCTCTCCAGCACCAACACATGCACAGAGCAATCTGTTCTCCAGGGAGCAGGAAGATGATGAGGTTTAGGTCATCCTGGGCTACATAGCAAGGCCCTGTCTCAAAGAAACAAAAGAAGGGCTAGGTGGAGCATGTTGCCTAGTGTGCCCAAGTCCCTGGGATTAATGTTGTCTACAAACAACCCAAAAGTAACTTATTATTTGCCGTTCATGTTACTGATTTGAGGTTTTGAGTAATTTGATTTACTGAAGTTGTGACAATAGAAACAGATTACTAGTTAATTATTTTTTTTTTTTAACTAAGTGACTAATTCCAGATTTCTCAAATTCCTCCTGGAAATCAATAGCAAACTGTAAATGCACTTTGGTCCTCACCTCATATATAACACCTGCCCTCGCCTTTCTCTCTCCTTCTAAGAACACTCTAGCTCCACAGTGACCAGAACAAACAACAAGAAAGCCTTTGAGAGATGATGCAGGGATGCTCGTCCGCACTGTGTTTTTGCAGCCATGGAGAAGTGACAGTTTCTCCTCGTACAGCCTCTGCCTGGATTAACACCTGGCTCAGCAGTGTGTGCCTGATGTGTGTAGCTGTCACCAATTGTCCTCTTTCGTCTCTTGTAGTCTGACCTTGCTGCCGATGCTGCACATCCGTGTACCCTTTACCTCAATAAGCCCACCGAAAGCCCAAGTTCGTGGTTGTCTGATTCAGGAACAGGTATGGAACTTCAAGTATTCTAAAACATTTTTTGGAGACAGGTTTCACTGTGTAGTCCTGGCTGGCTTGGAACTCATTCTGTAGACCAGTCTGGCCTCAAACTCACAGAGATTTTTCCTGCCTCTGCCTTCCCTGTTCTGTGATTAAAGACTTGTGCCAGCCTGTGGTCTGAACTTAACTTTAAAAGAAAAAAAAACGAATTTATCTTTTAATTTATGTATATGAGTGTTTTGCTCATACATGTAACTGTGCACCATATCTGCTTGGTACCCTGGGAGGCCAGAAGAGGGTATTGGATCCCCTGGAACTGGAGTTACAGATGTGAACCACCGTAAGGGTGCTTGGAATTGAACCTGGGTCCTCTGGAAGAACAGCAAGTGTGCTTAACCTCCAAGCTATCTCTATAACCCCCTGGAACCTTAGGGAGTTTATTTTACCCTCAGCTTACTTGCATTTCCCATTGTGTGATTAAAAGCATGTGCAGTGTCTGGCTTCTTCAGAAGCAATGTTTGCCTGTAGTCTGTTTGCCGTGAATCTGTTAAACAAGTTCTATGAGAATGGGTTGACACAGTGTGTCCATAATGGTTCAAGAGATACAGAAATATTCACTGCCTTTTTCTGTTACTCTACAAGGACTCAGCGAGTTCAGAGCCTCTGCAAGCCACTGTCAGCTGCTCTGTCTTTTTGTGCTGTTTTTGTGCTGACTCCCCTGTCTCAGTACCGGTTCCCACATGGCACATCACTTATCGGTTGAATTTGCTTTGCTTTAACAGAAATGGTGGGACTCAGCTACCTCTTCCCCTTTCCACTGCTCCCGCTCCTGTGGCTCCTCTGCCTGTCTTCCACCTTCTGACCCGCCTCCCTGCTGCCGTGCCACCCACACCCTTTAGTCTGTGGGCAGCATGGTAGCCAGAGTGCTCCTTCTGTACTTGGGACTCCACTCAAAAGTCTGCCATGGTTCCCATTTCCTCAAAATAGCAGCCGGAATCGTTATGGAGTCGCACAAGGCTCAGCACGAAAGAGCTGACTGCCTCGTCCCTATGCTGAGAGCCTGCTTGCTTCTCCTAGGGACTCATTCGAAGACTTTGCCTTAGCTGCCTTCTCTACAACAGGAGACTCTCTCCTAACTGTTACTCTCAGTGAAACAGGCCTTGCCTGTTTGAAAACAGTTTTGAAAAGAGTTCCTCCCCCAAGAACTCTTCAAAGTCAGTGACTGGGACAGAGATGCAGCTCTGGGAGGGACGAGGTGATGCTAGCCCTTATGAACCAAGTCTGTGGCCGGGCAGGCATGCTGGCACACACACTTAATCTCAGCACTCGGGAGGCAGAGGCAGGTGGATCTCTGAGTTCGAGGCCAGCCTGCTCTACAGAGTGAGTTCCAGGACAGGCAGGGCTACACAGAGAACCTAAAACAAACATGAATAAAGGCTTTATGTAGCCCAGATTGAGCTGTTGGTTATGTAACTGACGATGGCTTGGACTCCTGCTTTCCTGTGGCTGCCTCTCCAAGTGCTGGGATTACAGCAGTGTGCCAGGGTGCCTGCATCGTGTGACTCTAGTGCAGAGACTCAGGGCCCCAGCCCACCACGTCTGCCTGGTACCCTGGGAGGCCACAAGAGGATATTTTTTTCTTGAGACAGAGTCTCGCTGTGTAGTCCTGACTGGCCTAGAACTTACTACGTAGACCAGGCTATCGTCAGACTTATGGTGACCCTCTTGCCTCTGCTTTCTAAATGATAGGATTAGAGATGTTTGTCGCTATACCCATATTTCATAGAGAACTTGGACTCTCTATGTCGATTTCATGGAAATCTGCATTTATAAATAAGATTCTCTTCAAAATACATACTTAGTTATTACTAATTCATTTTGGTTGTTTATAGTTTTGACACAAGGTCTTACTACATTTATTCATTCATTCATTTATTTATTTGGGAGGAATGATACCAAGGGCACCCCATGGCGTGTGTGTGAAGGTCAGAGGACAGCTTGTGGGAGTCAGTTCTCTCCTTCCATCATGTGAATTCCAGGGATAGAACTCAGGTCATCAGGATTGGTGACAAGAATCTTTAATCCACTAAGCCCCCTGAGTGACTTGTGACTGAACTGTCTGTCTAAGACCCTTCCTCACTTCTTTCTGTTCTCTGTGTGCGCACGCCAGGGCTGACTTACTGGAAGCTGGAGGAGAAAGACATGTATCACTCTTTGCCTGAAACTTTGGAGAAGACATTTGCACCATCCCCTGTGGAGAGGCCCCTGAGCCAGGTAATGCAAGTCCCCCCACGCATGCCTGGGTGCTTGTGTGTTAGGATTATAGATAACTTTGCCACCATAGACTGCATTGTTTCAGCTTCTGAAATGTTGGAGGAAGCTTAGGCTTGAGAGTCAGGCTCCCTTTCAAATCATATTTCATCTCGTTTCCTATATGAGCTTAAAAAGGTGACTTCAAAATGGAGGTAGGCTAGGTGTGAGGCCATCATTTCCTCAATCTTAGCACTAAGTATGTTGAGGCAGGTGGATCACCGTGAGTTGGAGGCCACATAGTAACCTGGGCTATATAATAAGACCCTATCTCAAGCAAACAAAACCAACACAGAAATACAGGCTGGGGAGATTTCAGTCAGTACAGTCATATTACCCAAGCTTAATCTCCAGAATCTGTATGAAAGGCCTTGAGCAGTGGCCCCCACTTCTCACCGCAGCTCTAAGGAGCTGGAGCAGACAGTCTCTGGCTGGATGGTCAGTCACTCTCTACTACCGGGCAAGTTCCAGGCCAGTCTGTTCCAGAGTCTGTCTCAAAAAGAAAGGTGTATGGAGCAAGAGGTTGTCCTGTGGCCCTCACATGAATATGCACTTGTGTATCAACACGCACAGCACACACACAGCACACACACGCGCACACACACACACATACACACACAGAGCACACACCATACACACCACACACAGACATGTATACAGGCAAAGATATACAAAACAAACCAACAAAAGTAAAAATACTGAGCTAATGTTTTAGAAATTAAATGTTTCTGTGCCTGTTTTTTTCCCCTGTGTGTGTGTGTGTGTGTGTGTGTGTGTGTGTGTGTGTAAAGTAGGTTATTGGCAGTTAATTTGTTTTCCCTTTTTCCTAGACCTGATGGTGATTTCTGTCCTTTTAAAATTCCCATTAGATGCATTTGTAACATAATTTGAAGCATTTAACTTAAAATATTTTCTTTAAGAAAGATATTTTGTTTCTTTTACTTTTTTTTTTGACAAGGTCTCATGTGTCCCCACCTGACCTTCAGCTCCCTGTGTAACTGAGAGTCACTGAGCTCTTGGTCCTTTTGCCCTCACCTCCCAGGATCTGGGATCACCGTGTGTGCTGTCCTCCCCTGCCTCGCTTGTAGGCTCTGACGAGTAATGAAGAGAACAGCCTGGGAAAAGGGACGGTTTAAATAAGCAGCAGCATTTGGGGATGCAGCTCAGTTGTAAAGCTCTTGCATGTGTAAAGCCCCTGGGCTGATACCCAGAACCATGAAACAAAGAGCCCCTCAAAATACAACAAGGAAACACAGCCAAAAAAAAAAAAGACACACAGACATGAAAGTGGGAATTAAAGGAAAGCAAACCAAAAAATAACCCATGTGTCATAGGTGGCAGAGACAGGGGGATCCCCAGGAGCTTGATGCTTGGCAGATCTGTAGCCCAGTGAGAGACCCTATCTCAAACGGAAAAAGGCGATTAAGGAATGATACTAGAGGTTGCGTCTACTTTTTATACACACACACACGAACCCACAAACATGAACACACACACACTGACTTCTGGTCAATTGGGTGTATTAGTGTATCATTAGTCTATGGTACTAGCTAGCTGCTAGGCAGGCTACAGTTAGAAGATCACATAGGTCAGAGAGTTTGAGACCAGCCTAGGCAACACACCCATATGTAATGTGTAGTTTCTACTACGCTGTTTTAGTTTCTGGGTGAACTGTGCTACCAGCTACCGCCCTGGTTCCCTCGATCCATGGATGAAAGACACACATACACATCTGCTCAGTTTTAACCTGCCTTAGGGCTCAGTGGCTGGGCTCTTCTAGGGCTGCGGCTAGCATGCCCTTCCCTTTACTACTAGCTCAGCACCCTAAATCTGCCCTCAGCTTAGTTGTGTCTCTCACCTGCTACCCCAGGTCCAGTTCGGGAAGTAGCCATTGGCTACTCCACCTGCGATTTCACATGGCTGATGGCTTTCTCTCCTTGGTGAATTCGCCAAACCATGGTGAATTCCCTTTCCTCCTCCTGTGTCTTCTAGGCTACCTGTGGGAACTTGGAATTCCCACCTCTTCCACCCAGCCGTTGGCCATTGGCATCTTTATTGATCACCAAGAACCAATTGGGGAACAGGACCTCCAGCATTCACATACAGATTCTCAATCAAAGCATCAGAACCACTCCCTACACCCATTCCCTCAACAAAGACCCATGGAGCCTTTGTGGAGTTAAAATATTTGGGGGTTGGGAAGATCACCCATCAAGTAAAGGCACTTGCCACCAAGCCTGACTACCTGAATTCAGTTTCTGGGTCCTATATGGTAGAAGAGAGCTAACTGCTCTACTTGACCTGACACATATGAGTGGACACACATGTACATGTAAAATAAGTATGTAAACATACAAATTGTAAACAATGTCTCTGTGTGTGTGTGTGTGTGTGTGTGTGTGTATGTGTGTGTGTGAGAGAGAGACAGAGAGAGACAGAGACAGAGAGACAGAGACAGAGAGTGCACCTATATTTGTGCTACATGGGTGAGTCCAGGAGCCTGTGTAGGCCAGAAAAAGGTGTCTGGAAGTGGAGTTATGGGTGATCTGTGAGTGCTGGAAACAGAACCCAGGTCCTCTGCAAAAGTGACAAGTGCTTTTGCCTACTGAATTATCTTGCCAGCCTGTTTTTGTTTTGTTGTGACAGGGTCTCATATGGCCTACTGTGGCCTGCCACCCAGTTATATAGCTGAGGATGACCTCGAATCCTAATCTTCCTGTCCCTACTTTCCCTGTCAGGGGGTTATAGGTATTGCTCAGCTAAAATTTGGTATTTTAAAAAATATGGTAATTTGGGCTGGAGAGATAGTTCAGGGTACTGGCTGTTCTTCCTTAGGACCCAAGTACAGTTCCCAGCACCTGTGTGTCAGTTTACAACTGTGTATAACTCCATTTCCAGGTGACCTGATGTTGTATTGTGGCATTATCGAGGCACCAAGGATACAAGTGGTGCACTTTCATACATGCAGGCAAAACACACACACATTAAAAAAAAAAAAAAGGGCCCCCCCCCCCCACACAATAGGTTTCTACAAGAGCAGCCAGTGCTCTTAACCGCAGAGCTATCTCCAGCCCTCAAGCAGTGGTTCTTTTCAGCAGGAGGACTAATAGTGAGTGTTCCATCGCTGTGAGAGTGTGCAGTAAGCAATGTAAAGGACAAGAGGCTTGTTTTGGCTCATGGTTTCAAGGCTTCAGTCCATTGCCACTCGGTCAGATTGTGTTTGGTCTGTAGTGAGACCAAGATTATAAACAGAAGGAGGAAGACTGCACCTCTCATGGAGGCTCTAAGGTAAAGAAAGATCGAGAAAAGGCCTGGGTTCCTAGGGTTTCCTTCAAGGACATGCCCCTAGTGACCTGCTTCCTTCTACTAGGCCCTACCTCTTCCAGGCTCCAGTGTTTCCCCGATGGTACTATCAGTTGGGAACCAGCTCTCATCATCTGAGCCTTTGAGGGACAGTGAAGAGCCAGATCACGAGGGTGGCATTTGTGGACTGCTAACTGGGTTCTAATATCCCCTTAGTCCTAACTGTTAGGAGATAAGCAATTTTCTATTCTGGAGGAAACATAACCAGAAAGGTCTTCAGAGCTGACTATTACTCTGATTGTTTAGATTTTCAGTCTAGTTAAACTGTTTCACAATTTTTTTTAAGGTGCTGATCTTGATAGTGGATTTTTTCATTGTTGATTAAATGATTTTGTTTGTTTCTTTTTGTTTTTTTCAAGACAGAGTTTCTCTATTTAGCCCTGGCTATCTTAAAAGTTACTCTGTAGATTGGGCTGGTCTCGAACTCAAGAGATCTGTCTGTCTCGGCCTCCTGAGTGGTGGGAGGCATGAGCCACAACCACCCTAGTTCCTTTCTTTCTCTCTCTCTGTCTTTCTTTTTTCGAAGATTTTTTTTTTTTATTATTATGTATACAGTATTCTGCCTGCAGTTATGCCTGCAAGACAGAAGAGGGCGCCAGATCTCATTACAGATGGTTGTGAGCCACCATGTGTTTGCTGGGAATTGAGCTCAGAACCTTTGGAAGAGCAGTCAGTATACTTAACCTCTGAGCTATCACTGCAGCCCCCACCCTAGCTTTTGTTCTTAAGTTTAACAATTTCTGTTTTATTTGTTTTTAAGTTTTAAATGTCTTTAAGTTTAATGCTAGTAATGGGATGAAGTGACTGTCACTGTCCTATTCTAGAGAACAACAAGAAAACAAGCAGCTACTTAAGAGGGACTTCATCTCTGCTTCCATCCTCAGTCATTCACTGAGTGGTCCTAGGGTGCTCTTCTATGTATTTTAGTCTTAGCTGACCTAGAGAGCTAAAACGAGCTTCCTGACAGCCAGCATGAGTCAGCCTGAGCACGGAGGCCACAACTTGATGTTTGTTAATCTTCCTTCTAGGTCCTGACTCTTGATCCAGCCATACACATGAAGCCAAAGGAGCAGGTTGCTGGGATTCATCCCCATGGCTTTTTGAATGCTCTTGATGACAGAATATCCTTTTCCCCAGACTCTGTTCTGGAACCAAGCCTGTCTAGTCACTCTGACATTGACTCGTTTTCACAAGCAAGTCATAATGCTTCTCAGGTATCTGGGTTCCCCAAATATCCTTCAACTACGAAAGCATCACCTGTGGACACTTGGAAAAACCATGCATTCCAAAGTGAAAGTAGGACCAGTTCCACGATCCCTTCCCGCTACACGATCACTAGCAACGATATCTCAGTCAAAACTGTAGACGAAGAAAACACTGTCACAGTGGCCTCAGTCAGTCAGTCCCAGCTTCCAGGTACAGCCAACAGTGTCCCAGAATGCATTTCATTGGCTTCCCTGGAAGATCCTGTGATGTTGTCTAAGTATGTATTTCAGCGACTGGCTTATAATGTTACTAGACTTGTGATGTCTGATTGAGTGATGAAAGTGATCTCTATTGGACTGCAGCAATATAAAAATCTTAATGAAATAGAACTAATGTGTCTTTTTTTTTTTTTTTTTTACTATTGACAGCTTTGTTGAACTGAAAGATAAGATATTGACAAAGGCTGGATATGGTGGCACATGCCTGTAATTGAAGCTCTTGGGGGGCAGAGGCAGGTGGATCTCTGTGAGTTCCTGCCTAGCCTGGTGTGTATATTGAGTTCCAGGCCAGCCAGGGCTACACAGATAGACCCTGTCTCAAAATCAAAAACAAAGGTGTTGACAAAGGCATCTCTTCAATGGGAGCTAATCAGAATGCTTCTGTGTCTAGAGCACATGGAGCATCTGCTGTGCTTTCAGGACTGAATGGAGGAAACAGGCTGTACTCTGGCTATGAGAATGTCTGTGGTGTGTGTGTCAGCTGTCTTCTCATCACTGTGACCAAATACCTGGCTGTAGCATCTTAAGGAGGAAGGGTTTACACGGCTCACAGTTTGAGGGGATACAGTCCATCATGGAGAGAAGGCGTGGTAGCTGGGTGGAGGGCCTGAGACATCTGCTCACAGGGTGCCTGCAATCAGGAAGTACAGAGAGACCCTAGTGCGCAGTGTCCTTTATCTTTATCCTCTTTGTCCTTTTGATTTAGTTGGGACCCCATCCTATGGATTGGTACTCCCTCCCCCCAACCCCCACATTCAGGATAGGTTAGTTAAACCTCTCTGGAAACACCCTAACAGACACACCTGTGTCTCCTAGGTGATTTCTCTCAAGGTGACAGTGAAGATTAGCTGCCACAGGTCGACCCCCTCCAGTTGATGCTGAAACACATGGCTTGAGTCACAGGGCTGTGCCCTTGCTTGTCTTAAGGGGTAGAGGATGCACTGCCCTAAAAGCGTCTTTCCTTCTTGCTGACAGAATCAGGCAGAACCTCAAGGAAAAGCACTCGAGACATGTAGCAGATCTCCGAGCTTATTATGAGTCGGAGATAAGTAGTCTGAAACAGAAACTGGAGGCCAAAGACATGTCTGCTGCTGAGGAATGGAAGAAGAAAAATGAAATACTTGCAGACAGGTGAGACTCCCATGGAGCTAATGTTTCTCCAGCCTGGGTAGATTTCTTCCACGGAGTATATCATGGTGCGAAAGATGCTTGAAAAGTATGTATTTCCCATCGGAAAATTCAACACAAAGACTTGCAGACCAGGACATATCTTAGAGACAGGAGTGATTATTTTTAAAGATTTGAACGTACCTCATTAATTCTCTCTAATTAATTCTCTCTAAACTGACACGAAGCCATGGTTTTGATATGGATAAATCTCTGATGAGAGTGGAGCTAGCAAGTGCAGAGTGGTGTCATTTGTGGGGGTGGTTAATACTGTGGAATTCTGGGAAAAGTAAGAAGCCTGGAATGTGGGCCACTGAGATGGCTAAACAGGAAACACGCTTCCCACAAACAGGTGACCTGACCTTCATCTTTCGGACTCACATGATGGAGGGAGAGGATGGCTTTAAGTTGTCCTCTGACCTCCATATACACTCCATGCTTGCACGCACATGCGTGGATATGCACACACAGACACACACACAGACACACACACACACAAGATAAGAAGTTTGGGACTTTGGGGGCTGAGAGTGTGTGTAGCTCATTGATAGAATATTGGTCTTAGTGTCATGAGTGTTTGAATCTTAGCTTTATAGCAGAAGAAAAGAAATGGAAGGAGAAAGAGAATGGGCTAGCTTTTACTTAACACCATTTTTTTTACAAAAAGAATTATTTATTTTATGTACATGAGTATGCTGTAACTGTCTTCAGACACACCAGGGCATCGAGTCCCATTACAGCAACCATGTGGGTGCTCGAAATTGAACTCAGGACCTCTGGAAGAGCAGTCAGTGCTCTTAACCGCTGAGCTGTCTCTCTGGTGCCTACATTATCCATACCTTTAGTCCCACCCACCCCTCAGGAGACATACAGAGTTTGAGGCCAGCCTGATCTGCAAAGTGAGTTCCAGGACGGTCAGGACTACACAGAGGACTACTGCCTGGGAAGAACCAAAACCAAACCAAACCAAAGAAAGAGCATACTGTTCTTCCAAAAGACCAGAGTTCAGGTCTTCCTTAGCACCAGTGTCAGGTGCTCACATTGCCTTTAACTTCAGCTTCAGGGGATAATGTTACAGGGAGCTCACCAGAGATGAGCACTCAGACACTGTGTGTAGCCAATTGAAAGTCTTTATTCAAGCTGGCTGGGACAACTCTCAAGTGTTCACGGATTTCCCTGTGGCCTTGAGTGTCCAGAACAATGGGCTTTGAAGGGCAGAGTCCTCCGGCAGCTCCTCCAGGCAGCAACAAAGAAAGCAGTTTGAAGTAAGCAGTTTGAACAGAAGCTAAGATAAGTGGTCAGCTAGCTAGAGGAGGAGCTACACAAGCAGGCAGTTTTAACAAAGGCTAAGATAAGTTAGCGAGGACATCCTGACCTTTGATTCCTAGAATAGAGTTGGGTAGTTTTCTGTGGGATTTTCTATCAAGGAGATCAAATTCTAATTAAAACTGGAAACAGCCTCAGCAAGAAAAAAAGATGGAAGAACCTTGGCACTGTCTTTCCCCATTTTAATCTGGTACCCTCTTCTGGCCTCTGGACACCTGTACACACATGTGTCTCACACACACACAGACACACACACACACAGACACATACACAGACACACCACACATATTGTAAAGAAAGACTGTGAAGCCTGATGTGTGTATAACAAGATAAAGAGGTCTAGACTACGTCCTGTGGGGTGTGGTGAGGTGTGGGGGAAGGCATCCCTTCTCCCTGAGGGACCAGCTATAGTAGAGGATAGAGTTTATTCAGGGCATGGAGAGGGGAGTTAAGAGGGTAGTAGAGGCAGAGAGAGCGAGGGGGGAGGGAAGGCAAGAGGAGAAGAGAAGTAGGGAATAGAGGTTGGCCTGGAGAGAGGGGGAGGGAAGGGAGAAGGGGCGAGGGGACAGAGGGGGAGCAAGAGATCAAGAGAGGGAGGAGAGGCAAGCAGCCCCTTTTATAGTGGGCTGGCCTACCTGGCTGTTGCCCGGTAACTGTGGGGGTGGAGTTTAGACAGAAAGCTAACAAAGCTGAATTTAGTGTTTAACAGACCTGGAATGTAATCAGTATCAGCCCATTTCTCGTGGTTCAATCCATTGAACACCAAGTCAGATGGTAGGTGAATTTTGTGGACCTTGTTGTCGGTCTTTGATAATTTGCAAAGAAATTCTTTATAAGACTCATAATTTAGGGGCTGGAGAGATGGCTCAGCAGTTAAAAGCATATATTTCTCTTCCAGAAGGATCGAAGTTCAATCATAGCAACCATGTTAGGCAGCACACAGCTAGCTGCCTATAACTCTAGCTTCTGGGGATCTACTGCCTCTGGCTTCCAGTGATACACAGACACACACACACACACACAGACACACACACAGACACACACACGGCATGCACATACTTATATACATGATTAAAGATAAAATGAATCTTGGGGCTAGAGATGGCTCAATAGTTAAGAGCGTTGGCTGTTCTTCCAGACAACCATGGTTCAACTTCCAGCACACTCATAGCAGCTGATAGCTGCCTGTAATTCCAGGCTCAGGAGATCCAGTGTTCTCCTGCAGTACCTATAGGCATGCAGACATTCACACAGGAAAATACCTGTACTCATGAGATAAAATCTCAAAGGATTAATTAAAAAATAAAATAATAAAAATGCGATCTTAAAAAAGGATTCAGGGACCGGGCAGTGGTGGCGCACGCCTTTAATTCCAGCACTTGGGAGGCAGAGGCAGGCGAATTTCTGAGTTCGAGGCCAGCCTGGTCTACAGAGTGAGTTCCAGGACAGCCAGGGCTACACAGAGAAACCCTGTCTCGAAAAACTTAAAAAAAAAAAAAAAAAAGAAAAAAAGAAAAAGAAAAAAAAAAAGGATTCAGACTTGAGGGCTGAGGAGACGGTTCAGTCGGCCAAGTGCTTGACTGTAGGTGTGAGGATGTGCACTGCACAGAAGAGCTGAGAGTGGTGGCACGCTGGTCTTTCCGGTGCCATGGAGGTGGGGACAAAAGGACACCAGGGCTCACTGCCCCGCCACTCTAGAGTAGTTGGTGAGCTCCAGGCCAAAGAGAGACCCTTTCTCAGAGGAGGTGGGTGGTGGCCCTGCAGATGACAGCTGAGATCCCTCCGGTTTTTTCACACATGTATATGTTCCACAAAAAGAACAGCGTATTATCGTTGAGTTTGAAATAGCTCAGACAGGATGCTGTGCCCTGACTTCAAACAGCTCAGCTCTGTATAGCCTTCCAGAAATTGTAATGTGCACTTGTGTGTCCAGGCAGATTTTTTCATACTAACATCAAGCCATTTTGTGCAGTGTTCTCTGTTTTAAAAATATAAAATTTAAATATCAAATTATGTATAACAAATTCACTGTTTTAAGTGTGCAGTTTGGTGGCTGAAATCTACTAACATTGTTGTGTAGCCATCCAGCTCCAGAATCGGTTTTGACTTGCAAAGCAAAGTCCGGTAGGGGTATCTGATGCCAGGCCTGGCAACCTGAGTTTGATCCCTGGAAACTACATGGAGGAAGGAAAGAAGAAGAGATTCCTACAGGTTGTCTGTACACGTACACACACACACGTACACACACACACACACACACACACACACACACACACACGCCCCAGCATATGTGCACCCCACCCCTTTGAATAAATAAATAAATAAATGAAAAAAGAAAAAAAACAAACCCTGAAATTCTATCTAGGAGGTGTAGCTCAATTGGTACAGTGCTTGCTTAGTGTATGTGAGGTACTAAGTTCAGTCTCCAGCAGCCTCCCTCCCCCAGTGTAAATATATAAATGTTAGAAAAAGAAAAGTGAAAGACAAAAATCAATAAAAAACTGAAGCCCTGTGCTCGTTAGACGGTCATTCCCCTCCCTATCCCCTTTTTCCTTGACCCTGGTCACTTCTGTGTCTCCAGGAACCTGCCCAGTCTGCAAGCGAAGTCCTAGTGTTTCACTTGGGTGTTGGCTAACATTGGGGAGCTTGTCTTATTCTGCATATTGGCAAGCTTCTTGGGCTTGTTTAATGCTCTTAAGAGAAATTATTTTGTTTTCTAACTGATCCTAAGTTTCTGTTTCCTAGATGTGGCCAGCTGGATAGTGCATTGAATGAAGCCACTAGTCGAGTGCGAACACTGGAGAAGAAGAACAGCTTGCTAGAAATAGAAGTGGTATGTGTTTGTTTGAGGGGCATGATGTTTAAAACGTGAGGATCACTGCGGCGTGAGACTTACTGACTGGATGTGTGACTAGAATATACTGCTCATACTAGTTTTGTGCAGATGCTGGGTCTGTCGTTTATTTTGTTTGTTTGAGATAGGATTTCTCTGTGTAGCCTTGGTTGTCCTAGAACTCGATCTGTAGACCAGACTAGCCTTGAACACAAGAGATCCACCTGCCTCTGCCTCCCAAGTGCTGGGACTAAAGGTGTGAGGTACCATGCTAGTTTAGTCTTTTATAGTACCGTATAAGCAAAATTTTGGTGAAAAGTGCCTGTTTTGTTCTATACATTGTCTCTGCTTTAATGCCTGGTTCCCTTCTGGGTAGAATTCAGGTCCTTGCTAAGCTAGACCAATGTCTAGAAACTGAGTCACCCTTTGTTGCTTTGTTTTAGTTTGCTCTGTCTAAACGGTAAACTCCAGCATGTAGTTAGGGGTTGGTATCTCTCTTGTTAATCTTACTTTCTGTTGTTTTGTTTAGAGATGGGGTCTTGCTGTGTTATAGCTTACAGTGGTCTTGGACTCTCCTGGGCTTAAGCAGTCTTTGCAGTTCAGCCTTTCAAATAAGTTGGATTGGGGCATGAGGTATTGGACCCAGCCTTAATCTTACATTTGACATCCTGTGGCCTGGCACCTATATGATAGTCTAGACATAACCACTGAATGAATGCTTACATGTGAAATGAATTTTTAATTTTGTATTTTCATAGACGATGGTTAGAAAGCCCCTATCTCCAGCATACTAGTTTTGAGCAGTATATTCTAGGACAGTTTCATAATTTCTCTGATGTTTGTGGTTATTTATTTCTTCATTGGGGTGATCCACAAACAATTCCGTCTATGCAGGCCCTGGAATCATTGTATCCCTGTGTAATTGTTTTCTGTGTCCACCTTTGGTTAATCTCCTGATGTTGTTCCATTAGAGTGGTCCTTTCTAGACTCTGTCCTGGGACACAGCAAAATGTTAAAGTGACTTATTTCCATCTGTCTGTTTTGTTCTAATGCTCATAATTTTTAACTAATACCAAGGCACCTTTTCACTTGGAGTTGTTTATCTCTGTCTTTACTGTGTAGAATGACTTGAGAGAGCGCTTCAATGCAGCCAGCAGTGCCTCCAAAGTTTTACAGGAACGGATTGAAGAAATGAGGACAAGCAATAAAGAGAAGGATAACACCATCACTCGACTAAAGTGTCGGCTGCAGGATCTGGAAGAAGCCTTTGAGAATGCTTACAAGCTCTCAGATGATAAAGAAGCAAGGCTGAGACAAGAAAACAAAATGTTTCAAGATGTAAGTAGCCAGCCCAGGAGCTCAGTACTGTGCTGCTTCTGACTTCCTCAGACAGAAGCAGTTTAAGGGAGAAAGGGTTGATTTTTGACTTACAGCTCAGGAAGGATACTCTGTCATGAAGGAGAAACCATGGCTACAGGCAGGGAGAGTGTGGTGGCAGGAGCAGGAGGCTGTGTGGTCACATGACAGTCACTTAGGAAGTAGAGAGTGAGGAGGAAGTTCACCCGGGCCATAAAACCTCAAGACCCTGCTCTTGTGGGTCACTTCCTCTAGGAAGTCTCCACAACCTTCCCAAACAGGGACAAGAGCTTGGGGGCCAAGTGCTCAAAAAGAAACCTGTGGGGACCATTTCCCATTCAAGCCATAGCTGAACGAAAGAAGTGTGTTAGCTAATGTACCCTCTGAAGCTGTGATGACTTTCCTAGGCACATTTTGGTGTAAGCCTTAGACCCTAAAGTAACTGCTTGTAGCTCCAGATACCCTCTGGATGGGAGTGGTCTCAGGCAGCTTCATTCATCCTGCAGCAGGCAGTCAGCTGCAGAGGGCTGGCTGAGCTCCCTCACTCTTCTCTCTCTTTCTTCCTTTCTTTCTTTCTTTTTTTTTTCTTTTTTTTTTTTTTTGGTTTTTTTGAGACAGGGTTTCTCTGTGTAGCCCTGGCTGTCCTGGAACTCACTCTGTAGACCAGGCTGGCCTCGAACTCAGAAATCCACCTGCCTCTGCCTCCCAAGTGCTGGGATTAAAGGCGTGCGCCACCACTGCCTGGTCACTCTTCTGTTTCTAGTGAGTTAACTTTTGAGCTGTCATAACATCTGTGTCTGGCAGGGTACAATGATAAAAGCCAGATTTAGAGCAGGGTTCTTTGTGAGAGAGGGTCTTGCCATGTAGCCCAGGCTGGCCTTGAACTCATGATTCCCCTGCCTCAGTCTCTTGAGTGCTGCACTTATAGGTGTTCACTCCCATGCCTGGCTGCTTGTTATTGTTATTCTTCTGTGTTGCCAGCCCCCTCCTACCCCATCCCATTGCACAGATAGAGTCTAGGACCCTGATGGTGGTGGGGCTGTTCCCTCTTCCTCTCCCTCCCCCTTCCCTTCCCCCCTTCTCTTTCTGTGTGTGTGTGTGCACCACTGTGCATACACATACACAAATATACAAACAAATAAATAAAATGAAATGAATGTAAAAGAAACTTTATAAAAACTAAGACAACCTGGAACCCAATCTAGTATCAATGTTTTATGAACCCAATTTTAAGTGAAATTAAATCAACATTAAAAAAAAATTCAAACCCGAGCCAAGCAAACAGCTCAAGAAGTACAAGCTTTTGATGTGCAAGCCTGACCTCAGATCTTGTAGGCCACAGTGGAAGAACCAGCTTCTAAAAGCTGTCCTCTGACCTCCACACACATGTGCCCATACTCACGCATCATACATACACATATACAATAAGGTTTTAAAAAAATCAAACTAAGTTAGGTAGTGCACGCCTTTAATGCCAGCCCTCTGGAGGCAGAGGCATGTAGATCTCTGAGTTAGAGGCCAGCCTGGTCTAGAGTTAAGTTCTAGAACAGCCAGGACCACACAGAGAAACCCTGTCTCGAAAACAAAAAAAGAAACCAAACCAAACTGGTTCTAAAGGAGCACAAGTGTAGCTCTATTGGCAGTGTAGCGTATATATAATGTCCTGGACTCTATCCACAACACCACGGACAGGGAAGAGGAAACGGACGACTATGACACACCATGGATGGCTGGCATGCACGTGTGCACACATATGCATGCACACACACAGAAAGAGAAGGGGGGAAGGGAAGGGGTAGGGAGAGGAAGAGGGAACAGCGCCACCACCATCAGGGTCCTAGACTCTATCTGTGCAGTGGGATGGGGTAGGAGGGGGCTGGCAACACAGAAGAACAACAATAACAAGCAGCCAGGCATGGGAGTGAACACCTATAAGTGCAGCACTCAAGAGACTGAGGCAGGGGAATCATGAGTTCAAGGCCAGCCTGGGCTACATGGCAAGACCCTCTCTCACAAAGAACCCTGCTCTAAATCTGGCTTTTATCATTGTACCCTGCCAGACACAGATGTTATGACAGCTCAAAAGTTAACTCACTAGAAACAAGAGTGAGGGAGCTCACCCAGCCCTCTGCAGCTGACTGCCTGCTGCAGGATGAAGCTGCCTGAGACCACTCCCATAGGTCAGAGGACAACTTGTGGGTCCTGGGACTCAAATTCACCTTGTCGACTAGTCAAGGGTCCTCAGCTTCCTGCCATCCTGCCGGCTCTCTTAATATCTGGATTCTTAAGTTATGGTACTGAAGTGATCTGAAATCATTTTGTCTTGACGTCTTCTTGGTAGCAGAGGGCATGCTGCCTCCTGTGCTTTTAGACTTTTCTGCCATGGAGTTATACAGACATGGTTCCCTGAGTCTGTGTGGAAGCTGGCCTGGTGGGGAGGTCCTCCCATTGCCTGTGGTAACTCCACAGGCTGCAGGTGCTCTGGTCCGTCCAGTCATGGCCTGTGACTTGTGCCTCCCACCTCTGTTGTGGGCTGCTGGTCTTTGTCACTGGTTTGGTTCCTTTCTCTGGGAATGTTGGGGTCTCGCCCCACCTGGAATGATGCAGTATTTCAGGGTCTGTGGTCCCTGTTTTGTGGGACATTCACGAGACTGACCACTCTGGGAGTTTTCCATTTTCTCAGTTGGTTTTTGTTTCTGTTCTCTTTAGAATTCTTATTAGACAGATGTTGGGTTTTACATTGATTCTTTAACTTTTAAATCTCTTTTTCTTATTTTAATTTTTTGTTTGTTTGTTTGTTTGCTTGCTTGTTTTTAAAAGACAGAGTCTCTATTTTACAGTCCCTGGTTGTCCTGGAACTCACTGTGTGGACCAGAATGGCCTCAAACCTACAGACATTTGCCTGCCTCTGTGTCCTGAGTGTTGGGATAAAAGGTGTAGAAACATCCATTCTAGCGTTTTACTAGATTGTGTGGTTTTTAATGTGTACTGAAATGTTTTATCTGAATGCATGTATGTGCATCACATGCATGCAGTACCTCCAGAGGACAGAAGAGGATGGCTTATCTCCTGGGACTGGAGTTGTAAGCCACTGTGTGGGTGCTGAGAACTGAACCTGGGTCTTCTGGGAGAACAACCAGTGCTCTTACCCACTGAGCTATTTTTCTAGACCTGGGTGTTTTTTTTAAAAAGCCCTCTCAAGGCAGTGACTCCCCTGAAATACTCTGTTCTATTCTAATGACTTCCACACCACCCACGTCCATCATTTTTTAAAACATACTTTTATTTTCAGCCTTGCCTTCTGTTCCTTTCATTCCCTTCTTATGTTTTAATGTTAGGGCCTTTTCTGTATGGAAAGGTGCATTATCTGTTAAGATTGACTTTTTCAAATTAACTAGAAAGTAGCTTTGCTGGGAACAGACTTTGAGTCCTCTGGAAGGGCAACGAGTGCTCTTAATCACTGCACCGTCTCTCAGAATTCCCTGTAACTCCATCTCCTGGAGATACAATGCCTTCCTCTAGCTTCTTCAGATATCTATACATATTCTCCACCCCCTTACCCCCCCTCACCCCCTCCCACACACTAAAGAGAAAAAGGAGGTAGCTTGTAGCCCTGGGCAGGGTGGCTTACTGGTGGGTGGCATCCTTGGAATGGATGTGTGAATGAGGACGAGGGTTGCAGAGCTAACTTAGTTCCTGTAGATCTGTTCTCTTGGGTATATCAGTCTTTGTAGAGACTTCTCTGCCACTTGCCTGCCAAGCCTAGCACCCAGGATCGAGTGTCAGGCAGAATAGGGCAGGGAGGCTCTTAGACAGGAGCCTTAACCTAAGCCCTGTTTTTCCACAGTATGTTTTATATGTGCTTTCACTTGTGCCTGTCAGCCCTGAATGGCAGCTGGTTTGGGCAGTCATCTAGTGTCTCAGGATGTGGCAGGGCCTGGAATTCCCTTGCCCTTGTTTCTGTTACTTTAAAAATCATTTTCCATACTTTCTGCTATAGCAGTGTGTTCTTTCCTCATCTTGGGCTTTTCTGGGGCGTTCAGTGTATAAGGTCTGACTGGCTTCAAATCCTTCTCCCTCATCCTCCTGAATTCTGGCTGGCATTCCAGGGCTGTACCACCATATGTATTTTTAAATAATGTTATGCGCTTTGGCATTGTATTTTTATTGTATAAAATAAATGTAGGACAGTCTAATAAAAATTTAAAAGACAGTACAAATACATTTTACTATTGTGTTGAAGGCTCATATTGCTGTTCTTTTGTTCTGCATTTAAAATTGTCTCAGACTTAAAAGGCTTTCAAACATTTATCAGGAATCGTCACACACCCCCCCTTTTCCAGAACCATTGCTTTTCTGTAGGCCTTTCCTTACTAACCTTGGTAGTTTGAAGAGTGTTGTTCTTTTGTTTCTTTCGAGACAGGGTTTCGCTGCGTAGCCCTGGCTGTCCTGGAACTCACTCTGTAGACCAGGCTAGCCTCAAACTCTCGAACTCAGAAATCCACCTGCCTCTGCCTCCCAAGTGCTGGGATTAAAGGTGTGCGCCACCACCGCCTGGCTAAGAGTGCTGTTCTTTAGTTACCTGTCTAGTTCTGTGTTCAATTCTCTGTTTTTTTTTTTTTTTTTTTTTTTCTTTTGCAGCTCTTAGGAGAGTATGAATCCCTCGGAAAAGAGCACGGGCGAGTAAAGGTAGGGCAGAGGGGTCTGATCTGGGCTTTCCATAGGGCTGTACATAGGTACTGGCTTATGAAGCAAAAGGCCTGGCCCTTCTCGTTTTCCATCAATAGCTGTTTGAAACAGTCTATGTGTTTGTCCTTCCTGTGTTGATTTTTTTTGTTTTGTTTTGTTTTTCGAGATAGGGTTTCTCTGTATAGCCCTGGCTGTCCTGGAACTCACTCTGTAGACCAGGCTGGCCTCGAACTCAGAAATCCACCTGCCTCTGCCTCCCAAGTGCTGGGATTAAAGGCGTGCGCCACCACCGCCCGGCGATATTTTTATTTTCAAATATCTGCCCTACTTGACTCATACGTTGGTGAGATCTGTTAATATACCAAATACTATTGCATGGCTGTTGCATTTGATATGGGTTGAGAAGAAACTGGGCAGAAGAGTTTATCGCATATACTCAGATGACCATCTATTCTCTGTAGGTGTACAGTTAGAATTCTCAAAGCAGTAGTTGTTACGGGGTAGTAAAAATCTATCCATTGTATCTGAATTCTTAGCTGAGGCTCTGTCATATCTGGTCTCAGTGAGTCCCCACAGTAATGCTGTAAGTGCTTCCAGCCAGTCCACTGAATGCAGTAGGGGTTATGGATTTGTAAGGTTAGTGGACCCTCTGGAGCTACAGTTGGGACTGAGTTCATCATGCCTGCACATCATTGAAGGTTTTTGTTGTGCGGTTCTGCTAAGCTTTCAGTCACTTTTGTATCTAACATAGATCCCTCTTACTGCTTGCCTCTAGTTAGGCAGACACTGGGCTGCATCTGTTAGTCCCTGGGAGAGGACAGGGTTTATGCTGTCTCTTCCCCCTTGAGTTGCCAGATTGGTTCCACGGCTCAGACCATCCTGGCCGAGTTCCATTGCAGTTAACAGCTAGCTGTTTAGCCTTACATTTGCTTTATATTACACTTTTTGAAGTAAAAGGTTCTACCCGCATGCTTATCTTCAGTTATGTAAATTCTTTCTCCCCCTAGGATACATTAAACACAACTGAGAACAAATTGCTTGATGCATACACTCAGATTTCTGACTTGAAAAGGTAAGTGTCCGACTAATAAAACGCATGGCTTATTGTTGTTTGTGTTCATATTGACAGTGAGGAAAAGAAATTCTCTTGAGGACTTTTAAAGTCATTTGTGATCTAGTTGTAGCCTAATCTTTGGACATGTAAATGCATTCCATTTTAGCTTAGGAGACGTTTTAGTGATTAGAATATACTGGTGATTGGGTCTTAGGTACAAGCATTTCTGCAGACATTTTTTCGTTTTGCTTTTAATGTAATGAGAAGTCTAAATGAAGTCTGATCACAAATGATCCATACTGTGAATGATTTAGAAACATCTAAGTTAATCCCAGCACTTGGGAGGCAGAAGCAGGCGGATTTCTGAGTTCGAGGCCAGCCTGGTCTACAGAGTGAGTTCCAGGACAGCCAGGGCTACACAGAGAAACCCTGTCTCAGGGGAAAAAAAAAAAAAAAGAACCATCTAAGTTAGGGCTGGAGAGATGGCTTGGTGATTAAGAGCACACACCACTCTTCCAGAATACCCAAGTTCCATTCCCAGCACCATGGGCGGTGCATTGCAACCTTCTGAATAACGTGTAAATGTGCAAACGATTAAAACTAAATCCTTTAAAAAGGGAATATCTAAATTGGCCTCCAAGGGTACTTTTTTTTTTTCAAGACAGAGTTTCTCTGTGTAGCCCTGGCTGTCCTGGAACTCACTCTGTAGACCAGGCTGGCTTCGAACTCAGAAATCTGCCTGCCCCAAGGATACTTTTTATAGTTGTGTTTGGGTCAAATCCAACTCCAAGGTTAGAGAGTCACTTTAATCTGAAGGGTTACACAGAAAAGAGCAGCAGAGAGTCTCAATTTGCCACCTGCCTGATTCATCCACTCCTTACGACATGGAGAGCGTAAGTCATGTTAGAGCTGTTTCTTCCCAAGCTTGCCGCATTCCCTCAGCCATCCCGCTGGTCCCTGTCCCGCTACCTCCCCCCCCCCCCCACACACACACTGTTTTAAAGAATGGAGAGAGGGGCAGCAAACTTGATCACTCTCCCAGATCCCACAAGGTGGCAGGAGAGAACTGATGTCTCAGAGTCAGCTGGCCTCTTCTACATATACATGCCTGAAAAACACACACACACACACTGAAATAAATGAATTAAATCAATAAATTAAAAAGAGAAAAGAAAAGAAAAGGAAGGCCGTGCTAACTGGAAACAGTTGGCTGGGTCAGTTATCTTCTAGTGAGAAAATTGAAAGCAGCATTTATTCTGAACATGGTACAAATGGGATGAATTGCTCCTCATCTCTGGGCTGAAAGTTGTTGAGAATATTTTATTTTTTATTATGTATTTAATAGATTGTGTATTTTAATTAAAATATTAATGAAATAATAAAATATATTATATTAAAAATATAATATAAAATATATTATATAAATAATATATAAAAATAATATATAATAATATATTATATATAATAATAAAATAATATATAAAATATATTATATAAATAAATAAAATATATTATATTAAAATATAATATATTTATTATATATTTAATAAATATTCTCATTTATTAAAAGAGCCTTTGCCTCTTTTAAAAATCAAGATGCTATTTTTTTTTTTAATTTAACTTCTGTCCTTCATGGTTCACAGAAGGCTGATTGTCCTTTTTTTGTGGTTGTAGTCTGTGAGGCGCTGCTCTGCAGTGAGCCCGCTCCCAGTGTGTCTGCTTCCTCGTTATCTCTGCTTCCTTTGTTTGTTTCTGACAGAGTTTCTCTGTGTAGCCCTGGCTGTCCTGGAACTCACTCTGTAGACCAGGCTGGCCTCGAACTCTTGAACTCAGAAATCCGCCTGTCTCTGCCTCCCAAGTGCTGGGATTAAAGGCGTGCACCACCACCGCCTGGTTGCTTTGTTTTGTTTGTTTTGTTTTAACTTTTCAGAGTTGATTGGTGCCATTTTACTATGAAGGAGATTTGTGAGCAGCAGGTTATCATTGCCTTCCAGAAGAGGGACGTAAAATTAAGTCACATCTGGTAGTGGAGCTGCGTGTTGAGTCTGTTTCGAGGTGTTTAATACTCTGATTTTGACCTAGGATGATCTCAAAACTTGAAGCTCAGGTGAAGCAGGCAGAGCACGAGAGTATGCTGAGTCTTCGCCAAGGCACTAAAGCTCCCACGAGGCCATCCCGGGCCAAGTAAGTGACTCCATCAGTGTCCCTGCAGGGTGACTTTCTGTTCATCAGGAAGCCGGCAGTGAATTATCTGTAGTCTGAGATGTACATTAAAGTCACAATTACTGGATGTCATCCGCATCCCTAGGAAGAAGCTTTTTTTTTGTTTGTTTGTTTTTTGTTTTTCGAGACAGGGTTTCTCTATGTAGCCCTGGCTGTCCTGGAACTCACTCTGTAGACCAGGCTGTCCTCGAACTCAGAAATCCGCCTGCCTCTGCCTCCCAAGTGCTGGGATTAAAGGCATGCACCACCACCGCCCGGCGGAAGAAGCATTTTTGAAGATAAGAAAAGCAGAGTCAGGTGGAGTGAGAGCTTTGGGCAAACATCGTGTTCCTGATGCTGTCCCTACCACTCTCCGTGTGATCATAAGCATAGCTCCTGCTTTTTACTCCTTTTCATGTAAGCAGCTTTCCAAAAGACTTATTTCCGTCTTGGGCAGTTATGTAGACTTAAGTTCAGAAGCAGGTGTGGGATTCCTGGAGCTGGAGTTACTGCTGGCTTCGAGCCATCGGATGTGGGTGCTGGGAGCTGAACTTGGGTCCATTGCAAGAACAGTGAGCTCTGAGCCATCTCTCCAGCCCTAAGCAGTTTCTAATGAGAGTTATATATGGGACTATTTTTCTCAAGTGTTTCTTCTTCATATTTGCCATCATTTTCCTGCTTGGCTTTCCATTCTTCTTGTTGTCTTGGTCCTTTTACTGAGGTAAATGTTCATGTGGACAGTTGTACCGTTAGCTCACCCCACCCCACCCCACCCCCAGTTAATGTGAGTGACAGCCAGGCATGGTGGCAGCATGTCTTTAATATCAGCATTTAGAGTTAGAAGCAATTGGATCTGTATGAGTTTGAGGCGATTCTGGTCTACATAGTAAGTTTCAGGCCAGTCCTGTCTCTAAAACAGCACAGTGACAAACACAATGTGAATAGCTCATTCCTTTCTATAAGCTGGATGGATGACTTTGCCAGTCTGTTGACCTTTGTAATGTCCTCCCACGACCGGAACTCTGTCATCTTTCTTACGGGCGTAGGTTGACATTGTCTTGTTCTCTGCATCTTTGAGAAGAAGGGAAACAGTCTCTTGAAGTGGCACCCGCCTTTAATCCCAGCTCTTGGGAGGCAGAGGCAGATGGATCTTGAGACCAGCCTGGTTCACAGAGTAAGTTCACGGACAGCCAGAGCTACATAGTGAGACCCTGCCTCAAAAAAAAGAGGAGGAAGAAGAAGAAAGAAGAGGAAGAGCAAGAAGAGGAGAAGAAAGAAACGGAGGGAAACAAGAAGAAAGGAAAGAAAGCCTTACAGAGTGTGAGAAGCAGCCTTGAGTTCTTTTTACGGTTCTTGCTTCAGTTAGAAGTTGCAAAGGGATGGAGCTTCATCTTAGCAGCTGCCCCTCAGTGACAGTTGCAAAGGGAGCAGGAGTAATTACCTATGAGAGCAAGATACTGGATTGGAGCACAGTTTAAATCCTTAGCACTGAAATCCAGTCATTGTATATATACTCTTTCTATTTACTTACATTCCAAATGCTACCCCTCCTCCCGGTCTCCTCCTCCTGAGACCCTCCCCCACTCCCCTCCTCTGAGGGTGGGGCAACCCCTGCATATCCCCACACTCTGGTGCATCAAGTCTCTTCCAGAGTAGGTGCATCCTCTCTCTCACTGAAGCCTGACAAGGCAGCGCTGTTGGGGAATGGATACCACAGTCAGACTACAGCTTTAGGGAGAGCTTCTGCTCCAGTTGTTGAGGGGCCACATGGAGACTGAGTCGCATGGCTGCTATATAGAAGCCGGGGGCCTCGTTCCAGTCCGTGTGTGCTTTGGTTGGTGGCTAAGTCTCTGAGAGCTTCCAGACATCCAGGTTATTTGACTCTGTTGGTCCTCCGGTGGGATTCCCATCCTCTTCAGGGTCTTCAGTCCTTCCCACAGCTCTTCTATAAGAGTGAGTCTCCAATCTCAGTCCAACATTTGGCTGTTGGGTATCTGTGTCTGTTTCAGTCATCTGCTGGGTAGAGCCTCTCAGAGGACAGTTAAGCTCGGCTTCTGTCTGCAAGCATAACAGAGTATCATTAATAGTGTCAGGGACTGGTGCTTGCCCATGGGATGGGTTTCAAATTGGGCCAGTTACTGGTTGACCATTCCTTCAGTCTCTGCTTCATCTTTGTCCCTGCATTTCTCTTAGACAGGACAAATTTGGGGTCAAAAGGTTTGTGGGTAGGCTGGTGTCCTTATCCCTCCACTCGGGGTCCTGCCTGGCTACAGGAGGTTCCATGTCCCCACTGTTAGGCTTCTTCACTGTTGGCTAAGGTCACCCACATTGACTCCTGGGAGGCACCCTTCCTCCCAATCTCAGGTCTCTGGGACTTCCTAAAGATTCCTCCTCCCCCACCCTGGCAGCTGCAGGTGTCCGTTCATCCTCTTGACCCTCTAGGTCTCTCTCCTGGGTATATGCTCAGGAGTGGTACAGCTGAGTCTTCAGGTAGAACTATTTCCAACTTTCTGAGAAACCACCAGATGATTTTCAGATTGCTTGTACAAGTTTGCAATCCCAGCACCATTTGTTGAAGATGCTTCCTTTTTCCATTGTATTGTATGGTTTTGACTTCTTTGTCAAAAAGATTCTACCAGAGAACTTCTACAGCTGATAAACAACTTCAGCAAAGTGGCTGCATAGAAAAGTAACTCAGATCAGTAGCCCTCCTTTATACAAATGATAAACAGGCAGAGAAGGAAACTAGGGAAACAGCGCTCTTCACAATTTCTACAAGTAATATAAGTATCTTGGTGTAACTCTAACTAAGCAAGTGAAAGAGCTGTATGACAAGAACTTCAAGTCCTTGAAGCAGATATCAGAAGATGGAAAGCTCTTCCATGCTCATGGATAGGTAGGGTCAACATAGAGAACATGGCCATCTTACCAAAAGCCATCTACAGATGTAGTACAATCTCTGTCAGAATTCCAATACAATTTTTACAGACCTTGAGAGAACAATTCTCACCTTCATATGGAAAAACAAAAAACCAGCAATAGCCAAAACAATCCAGAACAATAAAAGAACTTCTGGAGGTATCACTGTCCCTGACCTCCAGCTGTACTACCGAGCAATAGTGCTAAGAACTGCATGGTATTGGTACAGAGACAGGCAAGTTGATCAATGGAATCGAATCGAAGACCCAGAAATAAGCTGACATTTTATCTTTTGTTAATGGAGAGACCTTTGGGGATGGGTCTATATTAAGCTGTGGTTTTCTGCTTTAGTTTTCAAGAATTATCTTACTGTAATCTTTGGTTTAGTTTTTGATTTTGAGACAGTTTTATATTAGCCTTGGTTTGCCCAGTACTTACTCTGTAGTTCAGGCTGGCCTCAAGCTTGCAGTGGTCCTCTCCTCTCTGCCTCCCAAATTCTAAGATGACAGGAATGCACTACCCTGGCACAGTGTTAGCTGGATGGAACATTTACAGAAGAAGGCTTTAACTATTAGAATTCAGTTTTTAATATGATTTTGGTATAAAGTATATTAATAAGTTCATTTATTTCATAGTGGTGTCTGTCAGAAATGAAGCTGTAGTTTCTAACCTTCCTAAGCTGTGATTGTTCAAACACTTTCTGTATCTTTGTTGAGTAATCACAATAGAATGTAATGGATTCTTGTATTTAAAAGAAGAGTTAGAGGCTGGAGAGGTGACGTGGTAATTAAGGGCACTCCCTACTCCAGAGAACCAGTGCTCAATATCCATGTTGGCAGTGAACAATCACCTGTAACTCCAGCTTTGGGGATATGATACCTTCTTCTGAACTCCATGGGATCTACACGCATGTGCACAAGCTCCCACTCACCAACACACATATACCTATAATTTAAAAAATGCTTTTAAAAATCTTTTTTTAAAACATAGAGAAATATTAGTGCTATGCTATGTCTCAGCAGCTAAAGACAATTACCACAAAGTATGAGCCCCCGAGCTTGAGCCCTCATGGTGGAAGGAAAGAACCAATTCCTAAACGTTGTTGTCTGACCTCTGACTTCTACATGTGACCATGACAGACATACATACCTACTGTCACAGTAAAAAGAAATCAATAAATCTTGGGAAAGAACATTTAGCCAGCTGTAGTAATGTATACACTTGCAGTTCCAGCTCCTGGGAGATAGATGCTGGAAGATCAGTTCAAGGGCATCCTTGGCTCACAGCCTGCTTGACACTAAGCCTGGAGTATGTAAGACCTTGTCTCAAACAAAAAAGCCTAAATTAAACCAGAAAAAAGGAACCAAAGGTAAAACTGAATTTTTGAGAGCAAGCAAAAGAAGAGGCATAAAGTTTGGGGTTCGAGAACCCTTTTGTGGGTGCCGTGCAAGGTGCTGGGGTAGTGAGGGCCTGTGCTTTCATATTGTTGTAAGCAGGAGGCAGAGCGAGCATGTGACCTGCAAGGGTCTGACCCCAGTGACCTTTTCCCACCAGCTAGGCCCCATACCCCTAAGGTCCCATAACCTTCCCAAATAATACCAGTATCTCAGGACCAGATGTCAAAACACATGAGCCCGTAGGGGACATTGCATTCACGCCATGATACATGGCTCAGATAGTCACAGCAAGAAGTCATGTAGCCCTAGGTGACATGGTGGATTAATCATAGATGGCTTTCTAAGTTATTGTCAGGTGTTTGGATTCGGAATTCTTTACTTCCTTCTTTATATGGGTTCTAGGAATGACCGAGTCACTAGTCTTTGGGGTAAGTGCTTTATCCACTGACTCACCTCCCTGGCCCTGAAGGTTTTGTAGAGTGAAACAATGCCACCTGACTTTTGTACATGCACAGTTTCTGCCCCGAGGAAGAGATGAATTAGGCCGTTTAGTGCTAGGAGAGCAGGGCTCTGGGTATCTGGGGTCTGTAAGAATGGTGGTTGAGGGCCAGGGAGGCAGCTCAGTGCACTCATGGCTGAAGAAGAGAATCAACTTCCAGAAGTTGT